GCCGGGAGCCTGCCGCTGGCCCCGCGCCGGGTGCGGCTACAGGCAGGGCATCGCCCCAGGGTCACCGCGCCTCGGGGTCCCGAACAGGGGAGCCCCAAGGGTGCAGCACAGACCCCACATCCCCACCCCAGGCAGCAAGCGGAGGGCAGGGACAGCGCGTGCTTGATGCAGCCTGGTAGGACCCGGCGGCAGGGCACGACGGAGCCTGATGCCCAGCCAGGGGCTCCAGCGGCCGCCCCTCCAGCGCCACCCTGGGGCAGGGCCCCAAGCCCCAGCCAGCCCCGCTCCCACCGCAAAGGACACGCACGCAGCCAGGCTCGGGCGCTTCGTTTATTGCATTGCTAACGAAGTCCTGTTTAGACCCTTACCCGTTACAGTCGTTTCGGCACGAAAACAGACCCCAGTGCTGCCCACAGCACCCTGGGGAGACGGGACCCTCCCGTCCAGAGCTGCCAGGCCCCTCTGCCATCATTAATCACCAGGCGTAGGCGACGCGTGGGGGGGGCATGCGCACCCCCTGGAAGGGCCAGCTGCAAACCAGGGAGCGGCGCTAGAAATGCCCTTCCGGTTTTGCTGCTGGCTCCGCGATCGACTGCCGAGGGCTCCCCACACTCGACCTGTCACCCATGGCTGGAGGAACCCCCAACTGGCCCTAGCGCCCAGACACAGGCCCCCCAGCCGTCCTCGTGTCTGCAGCGCTGGGGCCAGGCTGGAACGACGGGAGAGGAGCTGGTGCTCAGCCCCCGCCGGGGGAGCAGGGCCAATGCCCGTTGCTGCCCGAGGACATGGACGGTGAGGGGCTCATGGGCAGGGGGGCCTGGAGACCCAAGGCCACGCGCCTGTCCTGGTCCCAGAGCCGCAGTTAAAAACAATAGAAATAACGGAGTGTTTAAAAACCTGAGGCCAGCTCCAGTAGGACATGACCGGGGCAGAGAAGGACAGAGGCTGGGTCCTGGCCACGTGAGGTCAAGGCAATGACCATGTCCCGTGCCCCTCTCCTTCCCACCCCGGCCGGCTCGGGGCCGAGCCCTCCACGGCCCCGCTTCCCTGGAGCGGATGCAGCGAGAGCCCAGCCGCGCTGCCAGGGAGAGCTGCGGCCCCGCCGGCATCAGCAGTTTGAGAAGACCACCCCGTCTGCCCAGCGCGGGGCCAGCCCCCGGCTGCAGCAGCACAGGTCCCACCCCCGAAGCAGACCTCGCCCCGGGACCCTGCTCCTTGCAGCCAGGACAAGCCTCGTTCCCAGCGTTTTAAAAACAGCAAAATAAGTTAGGCCGAGGGCCCCGGGGCTCTGAGAAGTGACGTCCCCCAGAGTCACGGCACGGGCCACGGACATCGCACCCGTGCGACACGGAGCCAGGCACAGCCACAGCTGTAGCAGGAGGCAGCAGGGCAGGGCACCGCGCCGCTGCAGCTTCAAGTCGTGGGTCTGGGGGGTGCTTGGTCCACGAGTGTCACGGGGGCAGGCAGGACGCGAGTGGCAGCCGGGGCCCCAGGACTGAGGCTCTGCACCACCGCGCAGACTGGAAGTCGGGGGCAGAGGGCCCGGCCCCCACTCGCGTCCAGCAGGCCGTGAAGCGACTCAGCCCCCGGGGGAAGCGGGAATGTGCAGTCCGGCCCGTCCATGATGTGGAGCCGCTGGCCGCAGCCCCTCACATCGCCGACTCCTCGCAGGAATCCGCGGGGGCAGGGGGGTCAGTCCGGAGGAGCGGGGAGCCCTCGCCCTTGCCCAGCCCCAGCCCGTCCGCCTTGACCTCCACTAGTTCTTCAGCCACGGCCTGGCCGCTGCGCTCCATGCGCGCCTGCAGCAGCCCTGCGCCGAAGGCGTCGCCCTCCACGTTGAGGATGGTGCAGGTGCGGTCCCTGCGGGCACGAGACGGAGCCATGAGCAAGGCCCTGCACGTGCCCGGGCACCGCAGCCCAGCCCCAGCCCCCTCCAACGCCGGCTCCACACCCTCCCCGGAGCACAGAGGAAGCGACAAGGCAGGATCCAACCTCACCAAGTCCAGAGCAAACCCTCCCACCTGGGATCGAGATCCTTTCCCATGCCCACTGGGCCCCAGGTCCATCACCCCCCCTCCCATTATGGGGAGAAGTGGCTGCAGCCCGGCCCAGGTCACTCACACGAGCCAGTCCACAGCCAGGATGAGGGAGATGTCGTTGGTGGGCAGCCCCACGGCCTCCAGGATGATGGCCAGAGTGAGGACGCCGCCGGCCGGGATCCCTGCCGCCCCCACGCTTGATGCCGTAGCCGTGACCCTGTGGGCAAGAGATGCCGGGAGGTCAGAGCCCTGCGTGGCCTCCGGCGCCAGACGCTCCAGGCCAGGGCTGAGCGGAGGGGGCCAGAGCAGGCCTGCCCCCAGCCAGCCCTTCTGCGCCAGGAGGCAGCACCCGGCTCCATCGAGACCTGGGACAACTGTGGCACCGCTGGACACTGCTGCCAAGGCAAGGCTGGCAAGTGCCCTGCTGCCAGGGACAGCAGGGGAGGCCGGACACCCCAAGGCAGCAGCTGCTGGGGGCTCCCAGGCCCTGCATTCGTCTCAGAGGCCTGGGGAGCGCAGAACCGGACCACCCGCAGCAGCCAGGCCGGGGGCAGGGGCTAGCAGAGTAGCACCATGCTGGCTCTGGGGATCCCCCCCCACCACCACACGTCCCAGCCAGGCTGGGGAGGTCACGCCGAGCAGCTCCAAGCGCCACCGGCAGCCTGGGTAGCCCTGCCAGACAGCCTAGCCAGGAGCTGGGGCAGCACCTTCCCTCCAAGCCAGCCACCCCCTCCCTACGCTCCCTCCCGAGCCCGCCTGCCCCTCCGAGGTGGGGACGGGGTGAGGGCCCGGCCCCCTGCCACTCACAGGATGGTGATGATCTGGATGAAGTCCAGCGAGATGTTGTTGAGCTGTGCGATGAAGACGGCGGCCACGCACTGGAAGAGGGCGGCGCCGTCCATGTTGACCGTGGCTCCAATGGGCAGGATGAAGCGGCTGATGTGCTTGCAGACGCCGTTGTTCTCCTCCACGCACTTCATCATCAGTGGCAGCGTGGCCGAGCTGGGGGGGCAGGGGCGGCAGCGTCTCAGTGCAGGTCCCCCCAACTTCACCCACTCAAGGGCACGGTCCCTTGCCACATCCCCCCCCTCCAGTGCCATGTGGGCTCAGCTACACCCAGCCCCAAGCACCCCAGTTTGATGGGGGAAGTTCCTTCCTGACCTCACCCCGTTGGGGACCCTGCCCCGAAACCCGAGGACGAGGAGCGCCAGCGTGCAACGCCAGCGCCCGCAGAGCCAAGAGTCCGTCCCCGCCCGGTTCCTGGCCTCCATCGCACGCAGCAGGGAGCGCTGCAGGCCAAGGATATGCCACGGCCAGCTGTCCGTGAGCAACTGCTAACGGGCGTCAAGACACGACTGGAGGAGCATTTTTCCTTGTACGAGCTCCACCGAGGCCCAAAATTGCCAGTTCTCCCACCGCGGGAACAGTCAGACGCGCCCCAGCCTGGTCGCCGACCAGACGTGGGCCTCCCTCGGGGCAGGCAGCTCAGGCAAGCGGCGGCCCGGCCAGCCGTGGGTACCTGGAGGAAGTGCCGAAGGCGGTGGCCAGCGGCGTGACGATGCCCCAGAGGAAGCGGTAGGGGTTCCTGCGCGTGAAGATGAAGTAGATGCCCGGCAGCACCAAGAGGCCGTGGATGATGTGGCCCACGATGCAGCTGGCGATGTACTTGCCCAGGCTGGCAAAGAGGGCTGCCACGTCCTCCATCTCCACGATCTTGCCAGCCACCAGGAACATGATACCCAGGGGCGCGTACCTGCGGGGTCGGGAGGTAAGCGGTAGGGGTTCCTGCGCGTGAAGATGAAGTAGATGCCCGGCAGCACCAAGAGGCCGTGGATGATGTGGCCCACGATGCAGCTGGCGATGTACTTGCCCAGGCTGGCAAAGAGGGCTGCCACGTCCTCCATCTCCACGATCTTGCCAGCCACCAGGAACATGATACCCAGGGGCGCGTACCTGCGGGGTCGGGAGGTGGATGAGCCTTGCAGCCCGCACTGGC